ACAAAAACTAAATCTACTCTCTAACTCATGAGCAGCAGGAGAGACTCACCGTTTGTGCCATGTCTTCGCTCCTTCGTCTCTCAGCTTCTGACGCACCCTGTATGTTTGCACTGTCAGAAATACTGCAGCCAAGTACCTTTATAACCCGCACAGCCTGACTGCTCTGCACCTAATTTCACGTAAGTTTCGTTTCAGGTGAATTGGGCAGCAGGTGCACTCTGCACTCAGGTTTCAACCATGAGGTAACAGGTGAATCACAGCCAGAAGATAAACTCTTACTTCCAGGATCACTCCCAACCTGGAACATCTGTAAGTTTCATTTCTCCCTAGCTCCTCCTTTAGAGCTTGAAACCGGAAGCCCTCAATCAGAGCAACACAGAGATCCTGTCGTCCTTTTAGCTCTGCAGGATGTTTGGAGAAACCCCACCGCCCCCGATCAATGCTGCTGTACTTTTTATTAAAAGCAGCTGTAATACAATCCGGCCTGATCCCTAAAAAACTATTTGTTACCTCTCTGCTCTCTTCTGGTTGTCTTCAGCTCATTGACAGTGGACGGACGCCAGAGGAGGGAGATGACACCAAACATTCATCTCACTTCCTGTCCGTCACTGCCGCCTGTTGACCTGCTGCCTCATCTGACCTCATACACATTCTATGATTTCTTTATTTCTGTCGCTCTTTCTCAGGCACTTTTCAACACTAGAAAATCCCACTTTGGCAGAAGTAATCTCAGCTGGACGAGGGATTAGGTACAATCTGGACGGATCATCACTGAATTACAAACTTTGTAATTTTTGCCCGTGTAAACAGCGCCGCCTACAGTTTGACATACTCAGAGCGGAGAGGATATTACATGTTTTTTTTCACAGCGCATCGAGACCTCTTCACCAAAATATTTTTCTTTCCAAGTTGACGTCTTTGTCTGCAGCTTCTACGTGCACGGCTCCTCTTTTTCATCCTGCAATATTTCAGTTTTTCAGCTAACTGACGTGTTTTTCTTTCATCATACATGTTTTAAAGTTATAGTGACATCTAGTGTTGAAGTGTCGTGTTGCAGCTGAACACCCCTCACCTCACCCTCTCCTTCCAAACAGGAAAAAGAACCTGTGGTAAACTTTAACTGTCATAAAAACTCAAAAGTAAAAAACATGGCGGCCTCCGTAGAGAGGGTCCCCTCGATGTACTTATAAAGTATTTAAATATAAAGGGACTTTTCTGGGGTAAAGAAAAACTACAATTCATACAATTTAGACGAAACAAACTAGTGAAAACATCATGAGGATTATTCTACATTACATTTCTGCCAGTAGATCCCTTTCACCTAAATCTTACTCACTGGACCTTTAACACTTAAATCAGCCGAACTTTCAATACATGTTTTTTTGCCCCAAAACTTCCTGACTCTTGCCAAAACAACAAATTTCTTCACTTTAAAGTTATAACACTCATATTGGTCTTCACAAATATAGAGACATAAGAGCATGCACACACACGCACACACACACACACACACGCAGCATGTAGATCTGCGTGAATCCTCCTGGCTCCACCTGCCTCGTCTGTGACGGAGAAAAACATCACTGTGTTCTCTCCTCTCTGCTGCCCTGTTCATCTTCTCTCCACTTTGTCCTCTGCTATCACGCTCAGTGCCACAGTCACCACTGTTGATTATGAAGATCAGGAAAGTTCAAATACAAATCGAACATGTTTATATTTTCCTGCAAAGTACAGATACGTGTTTCAAAAGTAGCTTAACACAACACGTTGAGATAAAAACACCTCCATTGTGGGGGACATAGTTTTTATTGAACATTAAATATATAATGAAGAGTTGATCACAACAAAACATGCATGTATGATGAAAAAATGGAAACATGATAAATTACTTTTCCAAATATTGTATTTTTACATTAACAGCTTAGATTCTAGTGTTAGAATTAGGAAAATCATTTTCACTGAAGACAATTATCTTAGATAGTGTTTTATTACAAATAAATTGTGTGCAAATGATTATTTYGTCTGTTTAAAAAAGTGACGAATGACACGTCAGACATGAAGAAACATCCATGATGATTGAAGGAACCACAACAACATTCTTCTCTTTAGTTTGCACCAGTGAAATAGTTCATCTAAACAGTTTAAATCATTATCAATGTCATCGACTCAAACAATGGAGAGATCTTTCTTGTYRTTTCTCTGTCWCATTATTGCCAGTTTTGATGACGTCTTCCTGATTTCGTCCYGTMGTCTTTCTCTTYCTCTTCCTCTTTGCTGRAAAGGCTGCTAAACAGAGCTGCAGCYAAACCTACTGCGGCMAAACCTGCAACTGCCAYGCCTGCRAWMTCAGCTACTGTTTTAACCTGTGAGAGACGAGATGGAAGAACAAACTGCAGGTCAGAACACTTGAATCATTGTCGGTCACATATAATCTGGACGAGTGGAATGTCGCTCAGTAAAGCTCTGCCACAGTCCCCTTATAAAACCACAGTTAAAGGTTCAGTGTGTGGAATGTAGTGACATCTAGTGGTCAAGTGTCATGTTGCAGCTGAACACCCCTCACCCTCCCCTCCCCAACATGCAGGAGAACCTGTGGTAGCTTCAGAGGAAGAGTTAACAAGGTTAACGAACACAACAGTTAGATACACACCTGCCGAGACTCTGGTTTGCCGTATCGCAGGTYGGTAACAAAGTGCTCGCAGTTGTAAGTGGCAACGCTGTACGGTAGCACCCGACCCACCATCGCGCAGGCCTCCCTCACAATGASGTGGCGCTCACGAGCCTCGTACTTGTCATCCAGCAGATTGTTGACTTTGAATTTGAGATGGCGGACGACTTTGCGGAGCTTGTGACGCTTCACCTCTGCTGTGGTGCTCAGAAGTGCCAACGAGCCAAATGACTCATCTGTCTGACCTATAGAAAAGAAACATGAGGGAGAACAGGGAGGCAAAGAAAGAGGAGTCATCATAAATGTCCATGTGGTGTTCTAACGTGAATATAGCAACACCTCACTCACCCTTTGGAACTAAATGAATCACTTCATCTTCTCCGATGTAGAGGGCCCAGTGCTCATAGGAGCCATGAAGGACCTCGATCATGTCTCCTGGTTTTAACTAAAAAAGAAACATGAAAATAATAAAAAATAATGAACTGGACATGTAGTCAGTGTAATGGTGCAGTGATCAGAGTGCTCTTCATCGAGGCTTCCGGTTGTAATTGTTTGTGTGCACGAGCACGAGGGTGACAGGACACAGCCCTGCCACAGGTTGACATACGACAGCAGCTCGACTCATGTATCAGGACTTTAATCACAGAAATAGAAACTTTTAGAAACTTGGTGTAAACTGTTGTTGTTTTAGCACAGATCATTTCCAACATGGATATTTTTGGCTCCAGCATTTAGATTTATTTTCCATTACAAAGGCCGATCTTCATGTTTATGCATTTCACTTTGTGCCAGACATGAACTTCGCCTGTCACTAACCCTCCTGCACTCACTTTAGTTAATGGTTAACATTTACTTTACAACACTTTGTTTGTTTTAAATGAGCTCTCTAGTGTTTGTGGTGGACATGTTTAGTTTTCTTCTGCACAGTCACACTTTAGATTTATCATTAAACTTGTTTTCTGTTCTAATTTTGCTTTAGCTCAGCTGTTACATATCTTCCCCTTTGTCCGTTAGATCTGTTTCTGTCTTTGTTCAAGATCAGTTCAGTTCAGTTATATTTGGTTAAAGTTGACAAAACTAAAGTTCTGTGTCCCTCACACACTTCATCCTGTTTATCCAGGTTTCTGTAAAAAAATATATTTTAAAGCTGCATTAAAACGATAATGTTTTATTTTACTCCAGAATAAAACACCAGGCACACATTACAGGAGCAAACTCAAACACAAACAACACTTTTAATAGTTTCTCTGTAAAAGAACAAAAACTAAATCTACTCTCTAACTCATGAGCAGCAGGAGAGACTCACCGTTTGTGCCATGTCTTCGCTCCTTC